ACCACATGAAGCAGTACCGGTGAAAGGAAGAAGGCCTTCGCTGCGGAGTTATTTACCAGCAAAGGCCCAGTGAACAGCCGCAGACTATTGGACAGGGAAGCAAAACTCTCATTTGCATTTTATTCACAAAAACTGGACATCCATCTTCTCCTGAACGCGTCTTCTTGAACTTTCCTGGATATCCATTAACACTAATCATTCATTGCTCAAATCCAAGCAAATGCTACAAAGCGACTCTACAAATTCCGCAGCAAATCTCCCCTTTTCAAGAGACACAAGGCGAATTTACAAGAACAACACATAGTACTCGCCTGCCCTCCGATCAGTCGTATCACCGTTACACCGGTACTGGCTTTTGAAAATGGAACACGTTATCATGCCACAAATATAGATTGAACTGTTATATAAGGAACCCTTCGACAAGGCAAAGGGTACTTCTCAGGCAGTATTTGTGTTTCACCCAAGTTCTACACTAAATTACTCCTCAGTAAACAGCCTTTCTCGACTGATCTCCACAAGCTTTTATATTTCTAAAACATCCGCTTAAACACCTACAGAGAACTCCCCAGCTTTCACCTTACCTAGAAAGAAATGATCAATCCGCCTATCATTTAATTACTCATTAATTAAAACAAGAAAAATTATTTAAGCATAAAATGCTTCCTAGCATTTGGGGTTGATTAATTTTAGTTACCAAACGTAATTTCTACCAAAAGTTTAAATTTTTCTCATATTGCCAACAGCCTAACAGGAAAAAATCATAAAAGAAACCACTCACAAGTTTGCTGAGAACTCTTCGATAGCTCAATGCAGGTTTTTCCCTTCTTGGGGCTCATCATATAGGTGCGATTCCCGAGTTTCCATCAACCTTACTTTCTACTTGAACCCAAATTGGACTGTTTTTCGAGATATACACTCATTTGCAAATCAGTTAGGTTTCCACGATGACTACGCTTACCTAATGAGCTCCAAGAAAGGGTAAACCAGTCGTGGATTCTCGAAGAGTTTTCAGCAACCTTGGTGAAAATATACTGCGATATCTCAAAAATCGTGCCGACTGAAACATGAGGCGGCCTGTGTGCAGCACATTCAGTTGTAGAATATCATAAACAAGAGTTTCAGTTGAGTCTTTCGTGGAAACCAACTTGATTCGCAAAAGAGCGTATTTTAATTGTCCAAGCCATAAAAAGTTGACTACAACATGAAAAGTCATCCGCAGAACTGTCAAAACGGCACGCTAAATGAAGACTTCATAGAACGTTTCCAGGTTTGACCTCCATACTACTCTACTAGAAATGGATTCGAACTGATAAAATTAGGGAATACCATAAAATAGTAGCTTGGCTGAATCACTAAAGCTGTTATAATGTGACAACGTAACTTGTGGCTTAAGCAGAATTGACAATTGTAATTTGGCGTGGTAAGTATCGTTGCAAAACCAATAGGAACCATCTGCTAAAAAATTAAATTAAATTCACCATTGCACAATTACAAATAAGTCATATATATCATATAGATAAGTTATATATTGAATACAATACGTATTTCTTGTTTTTCCAAATTTTGAGTTAAATAAAATTTGATTTTTCCTTGGATCTTGAAATCTATCTTCAGTTTGTGTAGTGGCGATATTCGCAATTCAATCGTTAGAAATCGTCTGTTTCCTTTTCAACGTCTACAGAGAATGCCGGTCGTTAGACATCAAATCATATTTTTCAGCCTGAACCGTTTTTATCGCTCCTTCATGTTGGTTTTTAATACTCGACCGTAACCGTGATGGTAAGATAAGAATGGATGTGTCAGCGGCATTCGCATAGATCATCATCATCATCAGAGACAGACTAATGCTGCCGTACAATCACGAATTTTATCTAATTATGTTCAAAGTCTTAAAGTGAAAAGAAGTAGAGAGAACGGACAAGGAGAAAGAGTTGATGATGGTCCATCATAAGCATTCTGAGGTGTCTGCATCACCCATCTACTCAGACAATCTTTGGAGAATCTGAAAGCATGAACGCTGCTGACATCGACCTGGCGAAATTTCTCACAATGTTTCCAGATGGGCGCAGAAAAGACAATGGAAAGCTCCTTCCCAGAAGGTGTTTTGCACCAACAACATCCAAACTCTTCGTAATTTATTTCAGACCATCTTGCAAATTCATATGATGTCGACCTCGCCTTTATCGGCATTTTGAAGAGAACGGTACTCGTCCTAGTAGACGCCTTTTCGGCATGAGTATGCATTCGCAGGACCATCACAGCTGATGTTGCTGTATAATTTCTGCAACTAAGGTACCTGCAACGCAACCAAACGCCCGTTTTTTAATTACCTTGTTACGAATACGTTGATGCCATCTGAAACCAGAAAGGCTTCCGGTACAAATATCTGAAGAAGTCTGACCTCATCAGTTTGCAGAGGCCAAGCCTTACCCTTGAGACCCAGTGATTTGCCGTTTTGAAGCAAATAGGCACAGGTGATTCTGGCCTCTGAGATTTGTGAACTGACTTCACCAGATGCACTCTTGCCTGAGATAATACAACTACCAAGATATATAAATCCCCCCAAAAACACCAAGAATTCACTTTGAATTGTAAGGAGTATGTTCAGAGACTGCAGCTCCAAAGAATGGGTTTTCATCTCAAAGCTGTTCGGTGTATGCCAAAGGATGGTCACTACTGCGTCTGTATCTTGAAACTGAACAACAATGGAGAGAATGGACATCCTTGTTTGTAAAGTAGTGTGGAAGACAAAAGAGTGTGATAATAATAGTCAAAGCAAATTCACAGTCATTTGGTCCAGATCGTGTTGAGTAAATTGTGGTTGCCAGCACTGACCGATCGACATAATCGAAGGTACCCTTGTAATCAAATAATACCAAGATTTTGGGTCGTCTGTACATGTGGCATTGCTCTAACACCTGATGGAGTGTGAAGATGTGGCCAACACAGCCTCTACTATGTCGAAATCCTGTTTCATGATCACTGGTCAAGGATTCGCGTGCCGCCCTGAGACCACAAAGATTGCGTGACGCCTGAAGCCTCCTTTATACGAGAATCAAACTAAATCCGCGTGAGTACTACATCCATCGCAAGTACAACCGCAAGTGGACAATATTACTGATTCACCCCAGTTGTCCCGAACGGTCTCTTTCTTTTAGTTAGACCCAAATACTCTAGGCAGGAACCAGCTGAGAAACTCAGTCATCCTTGAACACAGTAGGTGGAAGGTCTCCAGGACGCTTGAATGGAGTTATTGACTCGGAAACCTCTGAGGCTGAGGAGACTTTCGTGTTCACAGTCCGCCTTTTTGTTAAATCCCAGCAGTCCTGATCATAGGTAGAATGGGGCCAAATGAATTATTGTTCAAAGCTTCAACTTTGTAGAATATCACACAGCCATTTTGGTTCCTGAGAGTTTCACTGACAGAAGACTTCCCACGGCCAGTCAAATGAATCAAGTGGATCGGCCTGTGGAATTTCCCAGCATTTCCCAAATTTTCCGTATGTTCCATATCTTCCATAAATGGCTTCCGGTAATGAATGTGGCTGAGTCGTGGTGATGGCCGGGAGGAGAATGTTGCCGATCACTCAATAATACCACAGTTTTACCAGGAATCCGATGTTTGGATGAGGCTAACTTGGTTGTACCGCAAACGGAAGTTCCGGCTCTGAGCAGCACTGTGGTCGTCGTCGCCCGACATTTGACTATCCGGTAAGCGTTCGAGGAGCAGATTCTGATAGTTCGTTTAATCCTTGGACTCACCAGTTTCTCAATGGGTAAGCGAGATGTGGCTGTTTGGCTTAGGCCTGACAATCTCAGAGAAAAGCAGCAACACGCAAGTACATGGTCGGGAACTGCGCTGGTATTCCAGCAGGAGCGACAGGCAGCGAGTGATCCTAGCCACCGGTAAATGGCGGCGGTGTGGTCTATTTGGATACGGGACTAATTTGTTTGTGGACACGAAGTGGTCAAACGATTTTTGCTGTTCCGGAAATTGGTACTGCCAAGGAGCGGTCTGTGATGGCAACATGTTTGAAGCAAGCAACCTTGGTTGTCCCTGCATCTCGTACCCAACCCAAGACAAAAATCCAAATGAACCTCAACAACGCTTAGTTTTCCTGCCTTGGATTTCACGTCATCACCAACTACTTCAATATCCAAGCTTTCGGTCCTTTGTAAAGGAGAACCTGAAGCACCATCGAAACTGCTCTTAGCAGATTCAGAGCGTAAGCAGAAACTATGAACAGAATGCGATGGGCCGTAATTTCTCGAGATTCATTCACTCACTTTCCAAACTGACCGCGCAGGTACGGCTCTCAGTAAATATCCAATCAATTAGAGATTCTTTTGATTGACCACTCAATGAATTAATCTCCTCGTTATATTTAGCTGCAGCAGCCTCTGAATCACCAGAGGTGCGCAGCAGGAAGAGGGCGCGGCAGCGGTCACTTGGACTGCACCACTTGGGTCCTGTGTCGTCGTGTTGTACAGCCACCATCGAATGGTGCAGAGGGAATCCACCGCACGGGCACTACTCACTTGTTCTGCCTGCTTCAATGTGAGAGCACAAAAAATCTATATAGACCGGCCTCAGTCTTTTTGAAGCAAATTTCGAAGTGTATAGGGTTGCTACTGGATTTGGACACAGGAGCTGCCACTGAGTGTGATGCACGATTAAGAAAGCGGTCAGTCCTAGTGCCGGGACCTGCGCAGATAGTGGGGTGGAGGAGCAAAAGCGTGAGTGTCAGGATGGAGACGCCAGCTTACCGGTACTGCTGTGTGCAACAAATAAGGCGGTCCTGCTGGCGACACCAAGCGCCTCCCATATGGCCTGAGATTATGGTTATCTGTGAAGTTTGTGGTTGTACGTGGGCTGGGGTACTGTCGAGGTGCCTGGAGCTAGACAGGCCCACATAACGTTGTTCAATTGCGACTTAAGGTTGATGTAAACTCAAGGGAAACTGGACCCAATCAACTCGGAACTTCATAAAATGTGGTGTTTATGTTAAGTGGTGTACAAGCATTTCGACATGAAACCGTTTTATATTATGGATTCGTGGAATAGGTATGACGCCAAGGTCATAGTAGATCATGTGCCATCTGAAAATGCACACCGAGGGAACGTCCCGGAATGCGTCACAGGATAGCCAAACGGTTGGACTCTGATGAGGAAGGTGATTACGGTCAATCAAGGGTAATCTCTCTACTTTAAGAGTTGAAATTGGCGAATGAATAATAAGAAGCCACGTCCTAAACCAAAAAAAAGACAGAAATTAAGGTGGAATAAACTTCGTATCATCCCAGGAGGTGGATAGACATTCAAAAAACATCCAGTCAGTTTCACATTGTTTTCTTTTAACATTTGTTTAGGTTTTGTTACGGACCCATACTCGTTTATAACTCAACTCTTTGATTATACGCATGTGGCAGCTCTGTAATGGATCTCAGTGTATGTTGAATTTTAGAGCAAACTAATTACCACGGCCAGCTCGTTGTAGTTCCTCTCCCTAATGAGCCAGCTAATTAATCCTATTATCAGGTCCAGGAGACAATGGAATGTCTCACCTGTGCTCCCGCACAGGCAACGTTCAACGAAGTTCACTGACACGGCAGAGTGAAGAATCCTTGATAACCAAACTAATTGCTCGTCTTTGAGTTCACCATTTTAATCAATATTTTTTGTGTTTCATTTCAAAACTCGCTGGTGGCACTTTTTCAGCTGAAGGTCTCCCTGAATAATAGTATAGTCATTATTCATAATCCAGTGCGTTTAGCTTCGTATCTGATCTGCTCACTGTGGATTCAACACAGCATTTAAAGTACAAAGCCGAAAGAAATCAGCCAATTGGGATTCCTTAGGGTTGGTGGTCGCGCAACTGAAGGATCACATTTCATATATTTGTAAACGGTTTACTTTTGATGATAATATGTTCCACCACACTTATGTAGGAAGATGATTTTTGGCTGAAGCTTGTCAACGGTGGTTAGACCACTGAACGCTGACGCATGCTCATGGTAATACACAGTTTTATTTGTAATAATCCCATGGTCAACTAAGAACAACATTTGAACGAATCAGGTCCTTTTAATACCGGCTCATAAATAAACTCGTCATCAGCACAGTCCAGCAAAACGGCGAGTAAAAGTCCGACTGGCTGAGATCCATGACCAGTACTGAAGGTTGTGACCACTAAAGTTACTCTGAATTCAGTAAGTCACGTGAAGCCAAAAAATAATTATCCAGAATAGCGTGGATTAGACTCTGTACAAAGTGTATGGTATACAAAGTACTTTCCTTTATGAGCTTTTCTCTACACAACTTAGTACATAACGACGAGTGGACTTTGGATGGACAGTCCGACTCGAAGTGTTAAAATGATCGCCACGAGGATCAGTTAAATGCCACGTCCTGTTATACACCTAAACAGGAAGGTGCAAAGATGACACAGCATCCACGTTCATGAGATAAATAAAGACAAGCTACTAAATATATTGATTAGTCTAACGGTTCAACTGTGGTCACGTGGCCCAGGCCTTCAGTCAGGCATGCACAATGATGTGACCTAATAGAACAGAGCCTCATCAACTCAGTATTACACTTTGATGCGGACAGTCACACAGTTTTCCATCCATTTACTTCTGCTTATTGCCGGTCATGTCCTTCTGCAAGAAGATTTCTCTACCGTTAGGTATGAGTGTCACTCATATTTTCTAGAACTCGATGTGGAACGTCTACGTTTAACTGTGTCCAGCGTGAGTCATTGAGTTAAATATCGTTTATTGGTCATATCGAGTTGTCCTCGAGTACAGAGCAATTAAACATGCCAAAGCATGCCAAAGTGTTTTTCCGTAGGTCATATTAGGAGTACGGCTGATTGCTCAGAGAACATTTGTTATATCTTGTAGGGGATATCGAAATATATCGAATAGACGTTTATTGTTTGGGTGACCATTTGTTGGTTACGAGGGCCCTCCTACGATAGATATCTTACTGTGAAGTTATTAATCTTGAATGTAGAGGTCCAACGACGCTGTACAAACGACAGTGCACTCCTGGAGTAGCGTTCTAAAGTGATTTAACTACGCAGCCTGTTCACTCAGGGACATCGATTGCGCCATGAAGAAGTCATTCAGGATTCGCACAAAAATGCGCCTCATGTGATATCTTTGCATCTCGTTTTTAAGGTGGCATATACTGAGAGCTTGACAGTTTTTAACCAGCACTTTGTTTCTGCCATGTTTCCTTGGAGTATTGTCACTTACGCCAGGTCTCTACTGATATCCTGTTTGCGAACTAATCACGATGCAGATATCCGTAAGCTGCATAAGCGAATACAACCATTGTGGATAACTGAAGCATCTTGGTGGTACAAAAGTCACTGAAATAATTCGATACAAGGAGCTTTATGATTTTCATTTTTTCATCTACTTTAGGTTCAATTCGGTGCTTACTCGAGGTCAAAGTAGTCTTATACCTGAGTCGAGACCAACTACCTCCCTAGGGGGATTAGTCTGCTTCAAAGTGCCATGCCACAAATTCTAGACCAGTCATTTGGAAGAAGTCAGCTGGGAGTACGGTATATGGTTTATTACTAGAAGATATCTCTTTGAATCTTCCTTAAGACTGGGTTCCCTGTACTGATATTGATGCTTGGCTTATTCTACTTGTCATAGTTCCGGTTGATCATAAAGTAACTTTTCTGAAGAACGCTTCAAAGCTTATATGTCAGGCCACTGCCCATCCGCAATGAGAAGCCAACTTCCAGAAAAGTCTGGCAATCCCGTTAAACAGGGTGTTTTATATAGGATGATTACTGTTCATCCCTTTCGCCTGCTGACATTCTTTGCTAAACCTTCCCGAGTAGATCTCCCTTGTATTATTATGCAGTCAATTGTCTTCACACTGATGCAGCTGTCGCGGCGTAACATAATAAACGCAGAGGAGCTTTACTATGGCCAAAATTGTTCAATATGGAATTATACCAACCCAGTGAGTTGACATCTTCAAGTCACCCGGCCACTTTCAAAAGAGCATACCTGGCTGATGAACTCTGGTGTCTCTTATAAAGCGACTCGGTAAATAAAATGTATATCACCAAATCTGCGTCGGTCCCGGTTGCTGATGTCCACATGGCCCTACTACAAGTTAGTGTCCAAAGTACTTTTTGTGTTTACAATTCTCACTCAATGTGGATGGAACATTAGGCAAGAACCTGATTCAAATTTATGTTCATAAATGTATGTCTCTCATTCCTGTGTCGTTAGACTGCCAAAAAGTGACACCCGTTCTTTCACATATAAAAAGGTGAAAACTGCGTGACCGAGAGCTTAAATGTTATCTACAGAGAGTGCGAAGACATGATAAGAAATGTGAAAAATCACTCTTGTTGAGCATTGCCCGCTACATACAGGTCAGTCAAACGCTTCCCCAATCTGTAGAGGACTCTGAAAGATAGTATCACCCCGGTGTCGAAACGGGATTTAATAAATCAACATCCAGAAAATGATGGAAGTATTTTGTGATAGTTATGGTGGTCAGGAATAGACTTTCTTGATCAGTGTGAAAGATTTCATCACGCTCACTATTAAAACTATTCTAATTACAATTCTGGATGCATGATTTTTGGTGTTCTTCACTGGTCAGTCACATTTGGACTGCTTAAATTCATTTTCTTCTAACTCAGCTATATTCAATTGCCGAAACCTGTGTCGGTTCTACGCACCTTCATGTGGTTAGCCTGAGGTGAGCATGTTTTGATCAATCTACCCTATTCTGCGCTCTAGCCACGATGGGAGAACTTGCAAAGTGGTTTACGAATACGTTCCCAACCTGAAGGCATTCGAGCTCAATCCGTTGTGTATCTTTACCGCTCAAAATGTCACAAAAAATGCGATAGTTTCCGCATTTGGCTTTCAGTGGGGTAAGTTCTTTCATTGAATGCACATTTTAAAATAACTTCTTTTATTAATTAAACCTCATTCTAGGCTATGTTGCAGAATAATTTACAGGTACTGTTTCCAGTTAGCTAATCTGCTCCTTAGAGTGTTCAACCCATCTCTCCAGTCGGCATGTTTGTGAGTAGTTTACTGAGCCGTTATTTCACTTATCGTCTCACTGAGCGTTGTGTTCCTCTAGCCAGTTGATCTTATTAGTTGGTATAGGGCACGGCTGTTTCCAGTAGCAAAAGCTTTCTCCATCTCCATATTTTTCGATGTGCACCATTCCGCAACAGTTACTTGTTTATACGAATTTTCTGGCATCAATCAGAACTCGCGAAATCAACCATACTCAGTTGTCATTTGATCTTAACCGATAAGCCAGAGAGACAGCACTGGACGTCACAATCATTGCTCCAATTTTAAAAAGATTTAGTCTACTTCACTAAATGACCAGTTAAGTTGTGCGTGGATGCATTTATAACTTTCTCTCTCCGTCTGATGACGCAAAATTAATGTAACAAAATTAAAAGACACGGATTGGTTGCTATCATCGTTATGGAAAAGCAGGTAGACCCTACAAAGTGTAAGTCATCTGTCTAGGAAGGAAACCCTTTCCCAGAACACCATACGGTTGATCCCTGTCAAAAACGGTCACCGGGATCAATCAAAAACAGGTGGGATAACTTTAACTACAACATTGAACAACATTACTCGATTCAATAATGCAAAAACACCCTCGTACCGACAGGTTAGTCAGTACTGTCTGCATGCTGTTAAGAAATAAGGTGCAGAAGCTAGTTTTGTCTTGATAAATAGGTTTGCTTACTTACTGCAGTGTGCAACGAATTGCCGATTTGTTAAGTTTAACTGATTCCACAAATGCCCTATACTGCTACTGTCCACGAATAATGCGGGCCTAGGAAACGCACGCACACGTGCGCACATTTCCTACTCTAGCGGGTTTCGTGCAGTACTCCTAGCCGACTACTTCGTCTCTTTGTCTGTGATACTGCCATACTAATCCAGATCTTCAGTTGTTTGGTAGGATGCCAGAACCATTATACATCCAAATATTTATTCTGTAAGTCAAAAACACAACAGAGTGTAACAAATTGCTTTTTCGCATGCATATTCCAAACCCTTTTGGTACAAAGAAGTCTTACTGTGACATAAGGCATTATCATAGACCGGTGAAATAGTCATTTAGTTCAGAGATTGCCGATACATGCATTTCCCCCAACCGGGCATATACGCCAGAAGGTTTTTTTTTCATTTCCGAACAACCTTAAGGATCGGTCTGTCGTGGGTTGAATTACAGTCATCGCCTGACACTATTCTCAAGAATTGGTGTATGGCATAGGTCAATACAGTAGAGACGTTTCCCGCGAGCACATCCTAAGGTTCATTTCTTTTTGATCATTTAGGAGTGCCAAGTTGGGGCTGAGGGCGCGTGCGGGTAAACGATAAGCTTTGCCCTGGGTGGACCACATCCATTGGGGTAGGACAGGGATGTCCTCTTTCCCCTTTCCTCGTCAACCTCGTTATTGACATACTGCTTGAAATTACTCTACCTGCCTCTGAAACCGCGGGAGTCGAAATGCACCCGGGACGTCCCTCACAGACAGTGAGTATGCAGACGATATTGCTCTCCTTGGTTCAGATCCTCCCTAAATAAAAACGATTTTCAATAACCTAAATAACTCTCTTGCACGGTTTGCCATGCACTTCACATTTGCAAAGTGTAAAATGCTGCTACAAGACTGGGTGGGATCAAGCCTACACCTCATGCTTGCAGGTGAGCCAATCGACATAGTAGATAAATTTTTTTAACGAACAGCTGTATGGGTTCCGGTGGATTGGCTGGAGATAAGATTATCTCTCTAACCGATAAGGTCAGGGCAACTTTTTCTAACCTCCGACCCATATGTTGTCGACGTGACATGTTTTTGTCCGTCAAGGAAAGAATTTAGACCGCTGCTTAATGGATCCGAGACGTGATTCCTACGCGCAAATGACTTACGGAAAATGTCAGTGTTTGATCACCAGTGTCTCCGCAGCATTGGTCAGGTCTGGTGGGAACATCACATTGGTAATGCTGAGGTACACCAAACGGTCTTAGGAAGAAGAAGCTCTCCCGTGATAGATGAATTACTCACGTTTCGTAGACTGCGCTGGTTTTGACGTGTACTACGCATGCCAGAAGATCGTCTGCCTCGCAGAGCTCTTTCACCCAGCCCTGTGCTGAGTGGAAACGACCGAGAGGTGGACAATGTATGACCTGGCAACTGCCGCCTTCCTGGATGGTACGCCAGGACTCAAATCATCAGTGGTTAAGGCCATTGGCAGAAATGGCCATATCGCGCAGTCAGTGGCGCTCTTGCATCAAAGTTATCGCCTTCAATGCATAGCCAACTGAATATGCCTTCGCCTCAAAGGCTTGGTTTTGTATACCAATTTTACATTTTCCGGTGGTCGAAAGTGTAACAGCTGTGCTTATTGCGCATGGCTTGAATTGAATTGAATGTAAGCAACCGAGCAGACGCGCGATCGAATCTGGGGCTCTTTAACGAATCGCCATCAACCGCCGCTGAAATTGAATCCAAGGTCACATATTCAATCAACAAACAAGTAATCGAGCCCAAGCACAAGCTTGAAGGGCAATCAGTGGTCAGGAGCACCACAATGCAATGTACCAGCTTGGGTTGCCGGTATGGCTCACTCATAGGATTATTTTGATACCTTATTGGTCATATGAATCTCTGTCCACTCTGAAACTGAGACATCTGCAACATGAGCCAAAATATCCTACTGCTCGTGGTCAGTTGGGGCAGGAGTTTTGTTGCCGAAAAGAGACTCAAGCAGAATAGTAGAGGGTAATCGATGTCGACGAGCATAACAAAGTGTTCAACTAACTAGACTAGGGGCCATTTCAAAGAGTCGGAAAGACATTGCCCCAAACGCAGATTATTTATGAATGAAGAGTCATGAACCCCAAATGTTTCGATGATAACATCGTTCATCTTTCGCAGGAAATTTTACGCCACTGATTCATGTCGGACATTTGAATCAAGCATTTTTCTGGTCCGTAGTTGTTTTTTTTATTAAGAAGATTTTCTACCTCAAGAAACCAACTAAGGTTTTAGCTAAGCAAAAATCTTATGCGTTATAAATCGTTGCTGATGAATGACTATGTTCTTTCCGATTATGATGCCCTCAGGACAAATCAGCTGCGTGTCCACCTAACGATTTGATCCATCAGTAGTTTTTTAAAACGAACTGACCACGTGCATCTAGAATAAGCCTGTGGGAAAGGTGACCTAGAAGGAGTTCCCTTAACATCTTCCTTCCTATGCATTTTACAGGCTGCCCACATTCACGTATGTCAGTAGATATAACCCCCTATTACTCGGTCATTCTGCACGTGAACGAAGAGGAGACAAGTGGAGTATCGGTGACACATCGGACAAAGTGCATCGTAAACTCACTAAACTACGAAGCCAACACAACCGTGGACTGGTGAGTTTTTATTTGTATTCGTCCAGTAAGCCGCTATGGTGTTGTGTTTTTACGGTGTATAGTGGAGCAATGATTAGATAGTATGTGGAACTCGATATCCGGTGTGCTCGTTGTGGTTGACATCCTGGTTGTTGGCTCACTTGGCCCAGCCATGTGTTGCATAGGGCTACATAGATCATTCATGATCTGAACGGTTAAGTTTGAGCAAACGAAGGCCTTTTTCGTTGGGCCTAAATTAATTTAAAAAAAAAACAGTATTATCAATTGCGCCAGTGAATGATAGTGTTTATCCACTCCATCAGTGTAATCCATTGGTTTGAACGCTTATGGAATGAAGGCTGTAAACTTTTTGACTTTTCATGTGTGTATATAGAAGAAACTGTAGTGTGACAACGAATGGTCCTCGAGGTGTTTTACAAAGCAGTCCCATTTAGGATTGAAATGAAGGTAGATGAATAGGTAGGGAAAAATCTGTCGCCAACTGTTCAGAAAATTTTGGTGAGTTACTTGTCACTTTCGGAGCTAAACGATGAAGTAAAATATCAAGTGCTGCTAACAAGATCATTGATTAGGTAACAGATAAGTATGATTAAAAACATCGGACGGTTCCTTAAAAAATTCTCCCTTTTTGACAACTAAAATTCATTGAATATCCGGTCGCGGTGCTAACTTGGGGATCGTAGCGAAGCCATGGGGTTTTCGTTGTTTGATTTGTTGAAAAGTTCAGGTCCAAGACCCTATTAGACAGCTGGCCGTGAGTGAACGACAAAAGTTTAAACTTCTCGTGGGCAATGTATGATTTCAAGTGCGATTAGTAACCGACCGTCACTACTTCTCTTCTATAAACTATACATCAGTATTCCGGCGCTGAACGAAACTCAATGATTACTCTTTCTCTTTACTGCAATATTTACCTCTTGAAACATCATGCTGACCATGTAAATCCGAGTCTTCAGGACGCCAGATCGGATAAATCTATCTAATTCTCTACATCCTCTCCCAATTTTAACCGCATTCGGCAACACAACCATAGGATTCAGTCAGAGTTAATCTAACTCTACCTCTACTTTAGGCTGCTTTATTAATCATTTCAACTTACATATGTTTTTTTCAAATTTCAGCTTGATGAACGAGTACGGAGGCTACGGTTGGTCTCTACCCGACCCCAACGGTCTTTGCCGGTTGGAAGAATTTGAGAACATAAGTAGTGAATTAATCGAAATACTTAGAGAAAGTTAGTAGGCAGTTGTTTCATTAAACTATATTGTGTCTACTAGTGAAAGGAAGAAGACCTTCGCTGTGGAGTTATTTAATAGAAAATGCCAACTGAACAGTTACAGACTATTGAGCAGGGAAGCAAATCTCTCATATGCATCTTGTTTACAAAAACTGAATATCTTCTCTCCCTGAAAGCGTCTTCCTGAACTTTCCTGGATATTCATTGACTGTTATTCGGATCCAAACAAACGCTACAGAGCGACTCCACAAATTCCGCAAGAGATATCACTTTTAAAGAGACGCAAAGCCAAGTTACAGGAAAACATAATATTCGCATGCCTCCCCCATCGGTAGTATCACCGTTGTACTAGCAAATTCGTCTGAACACAGATTTTACGTCACGTTTGCGTGGCATCCCGTCAAATCCTGGCTAAACTCGTTCATCATCTCTTGATAGGCAAAACAAATCATAATATTTACTGCGTTTATTCACGCGAAATTTCTTATTGGGCTGACAAAACCTTACAGATGGACAGCTCGAACTGTGTTTTCGTGAGTATACGGCAAGAATTATCATCCTCATAATCTGTCGGTGTTTTTGAGGGGTGTGTAAATGAGGATAGACTGAAAATAGCCTGGGACCAATAATATTCACCTGACTTATAGGTATAGACCTAACCTATATAAATGCCGGTCAGTGTGTCACCGAAACGTTTGTGTAAGATAGTGATTCCCGTTTGAAGAGTCATTACATCGGACAAAACAAGTTGGCTTTACAAATAAATAGGGAATGTTCGAATAACAGGTCTTCCGTCTCGGGTTTTTGCAAAAAAAATCAATTTTAATAGAAGACTGCGCAGTTGAGTATCCAATTACAGTATGCCTAGCTAAGACTGTCACTTAAAACTAAACAGAATAAATAGCTGTTATTATTGTAGTGTCATACGGCAAAACCAACAATAAGGCCATAAATAACTAAATGGTTTTATTTCCCCGGCCTGGTATTCAAGCACATGGTCCTCTTCAGGCCCAACGCACAAGCTAAAAAGGTTAAAATGATTAACGTGCCTCAGCTGTATATGATGTTCAAAAACTATTGGTCGTCATTCCTTTACCCAGCGCCTCCATCGTTGTATACTTTTAATGTCGTAATCTGATTAGTAACCGTATGGTTTCGTCTTAGTGCAATTCTCTTCGTGTTTCCTTCCACCCATAGGTGTCGTCTTTTGCAGTTACCGCATGTTTCTCTATATCGGTTACCTGAATTCCCGGAGAAATGCGAAGATAGCATCTGATGTGGTCGGTGCACTGTCTCAGGAATGCGAAAATTCACCCGCATGGATCTTCGATTCAATGTATTTTGATTTCTTACACCTTATGGACGTGATACTCTATACGTATTGCAATGACGACCGGTTTGTAGCCCACGCGAATGAGTACGTCCCAAATTGAAGTTTCCTTTCGTTTCGTTTTCCTCTGAACTTTGTCCAAAAGTCTGGTAGATGTAAACGAGATTGTTGAAACTCGTTTAAGTTCGTTCCACTCCAAAGATTAACAAATATAGTATAGGCCATTGATTTGCACTGGGGAATGGGTTGCATGGTCTTCTGGAGATTCGGACTGATACGACTCCGTTTTTCTAACTACTGACTTCATCGAAATTTTGTTGCGCACATGATATGTTACAAAATATGCATTCCTGTGGTGCACCTCTAAGGCAGTATAAAGCGGAAATGAAACAAAACGATCGGTACTCGTTGGAGCCACCCTCCCCGAACTGCCGAACAAAGGTGGGACCTGATTTTTGACATGTAACAAAGTTGGCTAGCAAAGATGCTAACATTTTGATCATTTACAAACTTGTATGTGTCAGGACTTCATCCCTCAGACGCTTGTTTGGAGGTTCGTCGTACTTTAATTTGGGGATACCGGTTGGTGCACACATTGGATCGCGAGGATTTCTAAATAAAACAACAGAACTGCTGATAGGCCGCTTGTCTGTAAACTGTCTACTCTTCGGCTGTTTGGCCAAAGAGTGCGATGCACATTGCTAATGAATTCCAGTAAGAAAGCCTATTTGTAGGCAGCCAACTGCTTTCGTAGTACAGAGAGTTTCGGAAGCCTATCTGCTTCCTTGTTAACTGAAGCACCAGTTATCATATCACACATTATTAAGGCGGGATAAACTCCCGTACTCTGGCAAGACTTTCTTCAATGGCTCGACCGATTATTTCACTTTCGAGCAATTTCCATGGGGTCACAAAGCATTCGTAACCAAGTCAAAATGAGCCACTCACACATTTTCTATTGAACAGTGTTTTATTTGGAAAAAAACCTTAATTTTCTTTTTTCTCTGTTGCTTGTAGATCGTTCCCAATGGTCTTCGAGTTACTTGACTTATTCGTGGATAAGCTAAAAAGTTATTATGACATACGGACGGAACGTCTGTTTCACCGCAGTAGGATGTTTCATGTACACGCCATCCCTTGGGAAGAACTCCAATCTACTCAGGTTTGTTACAAAACCGAATTTACTCAAATCTCCGGTCTCATGGTGTTTTGTCTTTGGTAAACCAATTTGTAGGATGTGCGAAATCCGCATTCACGTCTTGCTAGTTTCCTCTGTTGTCCTAGCGTAATTACTCTGGTGAATCCACACCTGAGCTTGGGAGCACTAGATTCGAGCTTCGCTCTTATCAGAGATCATCAGCATTGTGTATCCTTGAAAGTATCGAGATCTGAACTTCGGGCACATGACACGTGAGGTGAGCGTGTTACCACTTTTCCGACAGCAACACACTGGAAACACTGGAATTATCACGCCTGACAAAAAATTGTTCATGACTGAGCGATGGGAACACCTCTAACTAGAGCCCAGTAATTTTATTCTTGTTTCTCTCGATGGATTTGCCTGTGGTGGGAACACCGGATGAGCCGTGCAGAAGAACGTTAAATGGTAATCGGAAAAAATAACCCACCCTTGATAGTTGGACTGATCATACTGCGTTTATTGAGCTGGGTTGGCCACGTGCTGCGCATGCCAGTCGCCCAACATCCTCGAAGGGTTTATTTGCACATCTACGTGAAGGGTGGAAAACAGCCAGAGGCGGTCAAGCAATGACTTGGGTGCTTCGGGGCTGTTATTGCTTGATTAGACTTAAGCCCTTAGCATCGATTCGTTTGTGACCTAAGTTCCACCGTGGATATTAACTTGGACTAAGCAGTAAGAGTGGGCTTACTCTGGTCTGCCAAACCTTGAACTCGAAACTTTCCGAGAATCACCGGTATAGTGAATCTTGGCCATTTGCCAACTACCGACTTGCAGTTTGAAGAAACAGATTATCAGCAATTGAGCTACTGTGGTAACTTGCTCGCCTCACGCACGCAAACCTGAACTTTACGGCTGGTTTGCCATACCTATGCTTACCGAATTAACAGTCTGAATCGAGGTCTGACACATGTCACACCTCTTGCTAACCATGTGTACCGAAACCCTCACGGTATCCGGACGCTGTCAACGTATGACCAAAGGTAGTATTCAGGCAAAAAGCTAACTAGTGAAAGTAATTTATACTGGTCCTTTATCTAACGAGCAGAGGCGTGCCGAACGCTCTGTGAATTGAAGGTGAGTAGGCGTGAATGGGAACGGGTTTTCTCGGTACATAAGTCAGCAGGCCAATTGTCTGGTAAGCGAGTTATTGGCGACTAGTTTCTGTCCTCAGACGCGTCCATTTGTTCATGCTACGTCTATCATCACTTCCGATTTCAAGTAACCCGTTGAAAATAACAAAGGGGTTGCTACCCAGGTATGAGGCACCTTCGCCTTGTCCTCCTCTTCTAAGAACCATGTCATTTGTAAATTCCAGATTGATAAGTTTTCGTCAGAGACCATTTAAACACCGCGTTTCGGAGAGTTGCTGATGATTGTGTCATTATTTCACCAATCTGGAAATTAAACATGATTGGAAAGAGAGAGTACCCCTGGAGGACACCGCTTTGTGTACAGAAGTCTTTGCAGAGCTCTCCATATGATTTCGCACGTCGGGAAGTCCAAGAATACAAAGAATATGTTACGTTCACAAGCTTTCGAGCCTTGATGGGTAGATGTGTCAAGGAGAACAAGCCGGCCAACCGAGTTGAATTCAGGGTATACCCAGTTCAAACAACAAGTGAACCGCTCAGCCTGACTGACCGGTTAGAATACGACAGCAAGCGCATCATTGAAACCGAGTGAGTGACGCATCTACTAGGCCTTCTAGCCCAATGCAATCAAGATGCCGCCCATCCACGAGGGTGCGGAAATCCCATGGAACTCAGGTTGATCTCAATCGCCTTAGTTTTGCGCTGCCTTGTAATGGCATGTCCCTCAAGAACATACCATCCGAACTGGTATTGAGGCGCACGCGCAAATCGTGATTTTGTTACTGGTTCTTGGACATCGTTTGCCTAAAAGAGTGCTGTTTTCCATGCCTAATTCGGAGTGGCGTAAACAAAGAGGTGGCCAACCCTTGACTTGGCAGACGAGTATGAAGGAGATCACTAAAAACTTGGGTGCTGTCGGTGCTACTAGCCTTCCAGGATGGGGATCACGTGATCCTCACTGTGCCTGGTTGGAGACACTATAAGATATGTCTGCCAACCGATGTCAATGGAGTTCTTGTTGTCAGTTTCTATCCAGATTGCCTGAGTGAATGTCTAGAGGTGTAGGCACCTCGGAATGACTGTGGTAAGCTAGCCCCAAGTCTCTTCCCTGTCCACTTTTACTCTTTTCTTTACAATAAGGCTTTCAAATAAGTCATGGTTGTACGGCAGTGAAGCATCGATGTTGAACACTGATGTCATGCTGTCGATGATGATGATGACGTCACTTATAGGGCTGTTTAGGTGAAGTGCGAGACAAAGGCACTGAAGTCGAACTTCCCCCAAGTATCAGTTAGGTGAAATTGATTGCGTTCACTTATCCTGCCAGGCAGTCGCTTTGTCATGACAAACTGTGCAAATAGCTCTTTATTTACAACAACACCAATGCAGTTGGGCGAATGTTTGTCTACAATTCCACTACACAAATTGCATCCGCGATAAGCTGTCGGTTTTTGTTTCCAACCCACCTTCACTACATCTGTTATTTTCCAGATCACTTGCGGTGAACAGTTTAACATAACCATCGTGAAAGCCATCTTCCCGTTGACAGTTGCTTGCACAGAACACCTTCACGCACTAGCAGAAAACGATCTCTTTGAAATGTTTCTAACTGTCGGTTTTCTAAAGATCCAACCTAAATCGGAAAAGGTGAGTCTAGTCTATGTCTCAGTTAGCTGTCAGCAGATCTATGGTGTTCCAGATGTTCTAGTATCGTTAGCTAAAAGACGATTTCGTCATGTGAACAATAATTTACTCAGTGGTAGTGAGCAGTTGGGGTTTCACTGGTTCACGTCAGTTGATCATGAAACAATTCACTTCAACTGTATTTCGGAATCTGACTATGTCTCCTCGTAGAATGTTCCCGAAAACCCGCAGGCTTGCTTGTATTTTCCTCCGAAAGCTTGTTTTTGGCGACCTGTGGCACATGAGTATTAACCGGGAGGCCCAAATAATTGTTGCCCATTTCCTATTCTTCAGAAGCATGGTGAAGTCTTGCATATCTGGCTGCCAAAAATTTCAGGGGCATATGTCGTGTAGATTACATGGATCTTAGTCACGGGACCGCCCTTATCGTGTGGGTACCGTCCCAAATAAGACACCTAGGTGGCTTACTCATTCCAGTCAGATGTGGACTTCTCGTTTCAAACCACAGTATGGTGTGTGACAGGCGGCTTAGTTTTTGGTTATCAGCAGTGAGCTCTATAATGACAGGTTAAGATGAACCAAGCAGTCAAAGAAGCCCATCTACTGATATCCTGTATCAGTGGGAATCAAACCGAACCAACGGCTTTCTGGATAAAATGCAAACCTGCAACACCAGGAATTTCTTTTGTCACGTTCTTGGACTTCGTATTTTTTAATTTCCAAACCTACCTGATATCGATGTACACTGTTATCCTCTAGATATCTGGACGAAAGCAAAGCCTTGCCCACTGTAGCAATCACGTATGGTGCTCACTAGTTGAGTCGATTGATATCCATTGTGTATTCACTATGCAAAGTGCCGTAGAACACATGTGAACATCAAATGTCCAAGCAAGATGTAGGCAGAGGTCTCAATAGTAGCTTCTTTAATAGACGACGCGCTGAACGGATTGTTATTAATTGACCTTCCCTTCCTAAAAGCTTCCTTTCGACTATACTCATTTACTTGGATTTAGCATTGCCATGTCCAGTTTCCCTTTTTCGACTTACCCCCAACCTATATTTCAGAAGTTTGAAGTGGTTATCCGATACAACCTTCCGGAATTCCATCAACCTAGCGAATATTTTTGCGCACGCTATGAAGACACCACACCCCTAACAAAGAGTTCATTTGGAGGGTGCAGACTGGAAACCGTCCGGAAATATACTGTCTCTTGCCGTTGTTTGAGTCCCGGATATTACGCGCTGCTTCAGGTAAGCAGATCAATGTCCTTTTATTCCGGGGACATTTACTAATGCTAGATGACTGGTGCAGCTTGATGCAATTATCTGTGCACATGTTCAGGTCTACTTTTGTGTTACTTAGAAATCTTTGTCAGAATGCTGCCAAGCGCTTATTTTTGAGGAATGACCTTCAAGGATGTCGCAGCTGTTTCCTCAGCAGGACACAAGGTGGCTGAATAATGCAAACCCCCTGCAGTATTCTTCACCAAAGTAATGGAAGGAATGCTGGTAGCTCAGGTTGTGGGCAAGGTCGTTGATCTGTACCAAGAGAGGATGATGACATCGGCACGTTTTGAGCTAGAGCTTCATTACAGTTCATCCATCCTTATCATCATCATCATCATCATCATCATCATCATCATCATCATTGCAGCACAACATCAGTGTTCAACACTAATGCTTCGTGGCCGTACGAACATGATTTATTAGAAAGCCTTATTGTGTAGAAAAGAATAAAGGCGGACAGAGGAGGGACACAGTGCTATCCTGCCACAATCATTTTAAGGTGCCCACACCTCCAAACACTCATTCAGGCAATCTGGATAGAAACTGACAGCAAGAATGCCGTTAATATTGGTTAAAAGTTTTGGCCCGTCGGCTTGCAGACTGGTTTCATGGATATGTCTATGTAGATTAACTTTCATCCTTAGGGTGTCGCTCTTCGTGTATGGTTTGTCGGTTGATTATTCAGCCCCATTGGTTTACCCTCCGACTGAGATCTGACTGTCGAATGTCTAACTGGGCCTTAAGCATATCCTCTCTGATTATTCACCAGAATAATGACGGCAAACTTCATGTCTGTTTTTTTAAATGCTCTTCGAAAATATGGTGAGATCATTTACGATATTATCACTTGGCACATAAGTCGTGGTGTCAAAATCCTGTCACAACCTAGTAAAGGGAAGTGGTTACTGCAGTAAAATTGGCTGTAAATGGGTGCCTTTTGTTTTCTGATAAAATAAAAAAAAGTTTTGTCACGCGGTTATATTCTGTTATACACCCTTCAAGTCTTTTTTGGAACCCCAGAGATTCCAAAAACTTCAGACGAATTGAATCGTGCCTTCTACCTTGATTACCCTTGGGCAGTGTCCAAAGGACAGTGTTCTATGCATGTCTGATGCCACATTTTTAGCCAAACCGACTCAACTCAACACCGGAAGAAACCATAAATGCGGTGACGAGGAATATCGGCACCGCCTGCGACGCAAACTATCTGACGTGACAACCAGTCAGTAGAACTGGACTGTTGTGGTTACTTCTTAGAAAGTGGAGCGGTCAATTTTTGGAACAAGTAGGTGTATTTTTAAATTTGGATTTTGGAGCAGTGCCTTCCCGAGCGGTTCACACCTCAAAGACGTTTTACGTTGTGGAAAATGTATCCATGGCGTGGCTCTTTCTTGTGGACGATCTTGATAAGAAGCAAAACCAGTGAAAAGTGTAGAGGAATGGCAAAACACAGCTGAATAGCGCCTATAAGCCGAAACTCACTGCAAACACTCATTATGCCTTCCTCACTAAATGCGGCACTTACGAGGTACCTGACGACACTCAGGATGTGACGCATAAGTAGAAACTTCATATGTGGCTGGAGAGTACCATATCTGAAAGAAATCACTCAGCTGGAACCTACTCACAAGTAATATGATGATTCTAATAGCAATATTTCACTCGTCGAAGGCCTAAAGAGCGGGAACGGCCAGTTGGGTACCAAAAGCAATAGCCCGGGCATCAGCACCAGTTGGAAATTTCAGTGGTCCCATGGAAGTGAACGTTCAGGAGTTACAGACGCCCGGTGCTGGCATTTTTATTATCTGCCCCTTTCATCTGTTTCTGGCTTACTTGATATTCATTCAAGTCTTTATTTTATTTGTTGTTCGTATTTTTAATAAGTAAGAATCTGTGACACACCCATTCCAACCGTTTGAGATCTAGAAGTGAAGCTCTATCAGGCAAAAGTGTAGTCTACTGCCAAATAACTCGTTACGTTCTGTATTGACCGTCACATTACTTTTCCCTGAGCCATACCAGCCACGTATGGATAAGGTCCAAACACGTTCAAGGGAGCAAGACGGCGGTCAACGCTAATACAACAGGCAGCAATTTTTGCCTATCACGGCACTTAGTACAAAACACGCCAGTGGAATGATGATACGTGAGGAGGATGTGACGGATGGGGGACCGACAGGGTTTAATTCCCCATGCATTATGTCACAACCCTGTCCGACCAGGAATCATACTGGGGCACAATTCGACCTTGTATTTGTTTACAAAATTTGCAGAAGTTATTACTCACATATTTCTCCTTTGAGAAGTTTTCCTGCTCGACACAATGAGGACAGTTACTGGGAGTTTGTTCGATCGCACCGCCCAATGTTGCATAAACTAGCCTGTTCAGACGTGACAATTCAGTTGTCCGGCGTGAATTAGGGGAGCAGGGTAATACACCACCTTCATTTGGAACTTAAACACTAACATTTGGGGGCGTTGGATCCTCTTTATTCATTGCATTTCTTGCTAGTTGATGACACTTTCTTCGCCCCCAATCACGGTTTTGTTTGCCTCACTGGCGGTCTCAAAGCATGTGGACACGTATATCAAGAGCACACGACAACAATAAATACTGAATGAGTGGAGTTCAGGTTAGATATGTGGTGATGTCCACAGGGCTGGTAATTTGTCTTGGTTGGAATGACTTTCATGAACTCTGGTTCGTGATACGCTCGCCGCAGTTGTGGACAATTTAACAGGATCAAACAACTGATCTTTCCTTAATGCGGAGAGCGGAGAGTGGTGAGCGGAGATGTAGCCTTTGGTCTTTGTGGGGGTTATACGACATCAGTCCAAGAGAGCTCCTAGTTAGGTGGTTGGCCTTTATTCTCCAAAGAAATGGGGCCAGAGAGCCGACCTATGTCAACGCAGTCATAGCTGAACTGGGAGATAACACAGGAGATTGAGTGACAGGACTGAGTGTGGCAAATATCTACCGTTGCGATTCTTCGATATCTGTCCTGACATATGGCTGATGTTATGGGCAAGAGTGTCATTCCCAAAAGTAAACATCTTTTACCACTTTTTTCAGTACAGATCTGGTTATTTGATGGCTTCGTCTGAGGTGCAGGACGTTGAACTTCTGAAGTTATCCACGTTCTGCCAAATTAGCCGGCAAGAAATCCCCCTGTTGTAATTAGTCAACTGCTGTACATGTATTTCTACGGAATAGTGACCATACCGGCGGTGTGAGGAACTAAAAGTCGGAAAGTTCTGACCATTCCATGTAACCTTGTGATACAGAGTTTCATTCACGTGGAGTGGAGCGTGTCGCCTCTGGCAACATATGACAGGGCACACACTACAAATTGGTCATATTGACTTGGAGCTAGCTGATGATTTAATATCTGAGATCTAGTGATTATACGAATCTGGCTACCAACAACAAGTGCTTTTGTCTAAATATGAACTTTTCATCTTCCCAGCGAGTAATCCCATAATGAATCTTGACCTAGTTGATTTGACAAATATTCTCGTACGACTTGCAGGATAGGCCTCTAAGCGGGAATTTCGAAGGAAGAATATTGAATTTTCTGAACAAACCAACGACTCGCGTCGCGCACACTGGAGTTATTGCTGTGGTGTCAGTCTCCATTGTGCTGTATGGCACCGTGCTCTGGTGAGTCAACCTTCAGTGGATAATAGCACCTATATTTTCGCTTCCGTTCGCTTACCTGTTATGGTATTCTGCAAATGCATGTCCTCTGATTCATTCCTATGAGACTCTGAACGCGACATTTTCCGCAACCGATATATATAATTCCTTCGGTTAAAGGTTTTCTGGTGGTGTGTTATATCTACGGATTCGCCGACCCGTGGTAGCTGCTGCTAACCCACTCTAGTGCCTAGTGCCGGAGAAAAAAGACTCACAGAAGGGAACACAACCGCTATATTCCGAACAAACGAGTGCGAGAGCGTGAGTGCGTGTGAGTGCGCGAGCAAAATTTACAACGGCCCCACGTTATTCAAAAGGGGCTTTCTGACACTGACCCAGGATGTCTGTTGGGCGTTAGTGAACATCCATCAACATCGACCGTGTCTCTATAAAATGCCTGAACGCTGATCACATTCGGTCTTACTTCCGTGGCGTGCAAGAACACTCATCGGCTTTTGCTGAATTGATTGGATGATTGACTAGCCTGGATGGTTGCCGGCTTTCCTGTTGAGATTTTGGTGGAGCAGTAGGTTCCGGGTTTTCTGAGGTTACTTTCAGGAATCTGACCTCCCCGATATGGTGCCTACGCAAACTCCGCGAGGCGAATACACATCAATATTTCCGTGAAGGAATCGGGCCGATTGCTGGTTGCTTCCCCAAACAGATATGCTGCATTATTTGAATAATTGGTCGAGGTAGCTTCACTCAAAGCTATAGATGAAATACAACACTATAAACCTAGTGGGCATGGCATGGAATTGATTGGATTGGTGGGTGATAAAAATGATAAAAAGGCCAGTTATTCACAGTTCACTAGCCTGAAAACTAATAATCTTAACAGAATCACGTATTTTTTGGTGGATAGTGTAACATACAGTGGGCTGCATAGCAGAAAACTGACTGAAGGGGACTGTCAGTTTCTGGTTAGTAAAATCACAATGTGTGGAACCATGTCAGCCTATTTAGGTGGAAATCTCACAAAGACGTTGTTGCAACAGGTTTTCGCATGCTGTATACTCAGACGAACTGCTTCGAATGATCATCCTTCAGTAATGTGTAGTTTG